AAAAAAAAAAAAAAAAAAAAAAAAAAAAAAAAAAGTGAACAACATCAGTTTGGGACAAATCGAAATCATGCGCCACTGATAGGATGTAATGAGAAAAGCACATCTCTTCTGTGATATTCCTGCCAAAGGTGCGTGACCTGAATTTAATCATGAAAATATATCAGACAAACCAAATCTAGATATATTCTACAAAATCTTCATGTGTCAAGGTCATGGGAGTTAAGGAAAGCTGATGATTATTCTAAACTAAAAGAGACCAAAGAGAATTGATGACTAGATCCAGTGCTTGATCCTGATCTGGATCCTTTTGCTATGAAGGACATTGTCAGAACAGTGAGTCTTTTTTTTTTTTTTAATACATCTTGATTGGAGTATAATTGCTTCACAATACTGTGTTAGTTTCTGTTGTACAACAAAGTGAATCAGCTGTATGCATACATATATCCCCATATCCCCTCCCCCTTGAGCCTCCCTCTCACCCTCCCTCTCCCACCCCTCTAGGTCGTTGCAAAGCACTGAGCTGATGTCCCTGTGCTGTCGCTGCTTCCCACTAGCCATTTTACATTTGGTAGTGTATATATGTCGATGCTATTCTCACTTTGCTCCAGCTTCCCCCTCCCCACCATGTCCTCAACTCTATTCTCTATGTCTATGTCTTTATTCCTGCCCTGCCACTAGGCTCATCAGTACCTTTTAAATTTTTTTTAGATTCCATATATATGTGTTAGCATACAGTATTTGTTTTTCTCTTTCTGACTTACTTCACTCTGTATGACAGACTCTAGGTCCATCCACCTCACTACAAATAACTCCATTTCGTTTCTTTTTATGGCTAATAGTCCATTGTATATATGTGCCACATCTTCTTTATCCATTCATCTGTTGGTGGACACTTAGGTTGCTTCCATGTCCTGGCTATTGTAAACAGTGCTGCAATGAACATTGTGGTACATGTCTCTTTTTGAATTATGGTTTTCTCAGGGTATATGCCCAGTAGTGGGATTGCTGGATCATATGGTAGTTCTATTTTTAGTTTTTTAAGGAACCTCCATACTGTTCTCCATAGTGGCTATATCAATTTACATTCCCACCAACAGTGCAAAAGGGTTCCCTTTTCTCCACACCCTCTCCACGTGTTTGTTTGTAGATTTTTTGATAGTGGCCATTCTGACTGGTGTGAGGTGATACCTCACTGTAGGGTTTTTTTTTTTTGCGGTACGCGGGCCTCTCACCGTCGCGGCATCTCCCGCTGTGGGACACAGGCTCCGGACGCGCAGGCTCAGCGGCCATGGCCCGTGGGCCCAGCTGCTCCGCGGCATGTGGGATCCTCCCGGACCGGGGCACGAACCCATGTCCCCTGCATCAGCAGGCAGACTCCCAACCATTGCGCAACCAGGGAAGCCCCCTCACTGTAGTTTTGATTTGCATTTCTCTAATAATTCATGATGTTGAGCATCTTTTCATGTGCTTCTTGGCCATCTGTATGTCTTCTTTGGTGAGATGTCTATTTAGGTCTACAGCCCATTATTTAACTGGGTTGTTTATTTTTTTGATATTGAGCTCCGTGAGCTGTTTGTATATTTTGGAGATTAATCCTTTGTCTGTTGTTTCATTTGCAAATATTTTCTCCCATTCTGAGGGTTGTCTTTTTGTCTCATTTATGGTTTCCTTTGCTGTGCAAAAGCTTTTAAGTTTCATTAGGTCCCATTTGTTTCTGTTTTTATTTTCATTACTCTAGGAGGTGGGTCAAAAAAGATCTTGCTGTGGTTTATGTCAAAGAGTGTTTTTCCTATGTTTTCCTCTAAGAGTTTTACAGTGTCTGATCTTACATTTAGGTCTTTCATCCATTTGGAGTTTATTTTTGTGTATGGTGTTAGGGAGTGTTCTAATTTCATTCTTTTACATGTAGCTGTCCAGTTTTCCCAGCACCACTTACTGAAGAGGCTGTCTTTTTTCCATTGTATGTTCTTGCCTCCTTTGTCATAGATTAGGTGACTATATATGTGTGGGTTTATCTCTGGGCTTTCTATCCTGTACCATTGATCTATATTTCTGTTTTTGTGCCAGTACCATACTGTCTTGATTACCGTAGCTTTGTAGTATAGTTTGAAGTCAGGGAGCCTGATTCCTCCAGCTCTGTTTTTCTTTCTCAAGATTGCTTTGGCACTGTAACACTGCACATGTGTCACTTTTACATCACCACCATCCAAAGGGCAGACATCATTCAAGACTCACAATAGGGGCTTCCCTGGTGGCGCAGTGCTTGAGAGTCCGCCTGCCGATGCAGGAGACGCGGGTTCGTGCCCCGTTTCGGGAAGATCCCACATGCCGCGGAGCGGCTGGGCCCGTGAGCCATGGCCACTGAGCCTGCGCGTCCGGAGCCTGTGCTCCGCAAATGGGAGAGGCCACAACAGTGAGAGGCCCGCATAACGCAAGGAAAAAAAAAAAAAAAAAGACTCACAATAGCCAAAATAGCCAAAGTAAGTGAGTCTTGAATGATGTCTGCCCTTTGGATGGTGGCGATATAAAAGTGACACATGTGCAGTGTTACAGTTTCACCACATGAATATCCCAAGTTTGATGGTTGTATTGTATAAGGGAAGTGTGTTAGCACTGCTCTTCAAGTCTGAATGTGCATTCAAATCTCCTGGGGATCTTTTTAAAATGCAGATTCTGATTCAGTGGGTCTCAGTGGGGCCTGAGATTCTGTTAGTCTAACCAGCTCCCAGGCGACACCCCATGCTGCTGGCCTAGCGACCACACTCAAAGTAGCAAGGGCCTAGGAAACCCATGGAGAACATTCACTCTTTGCCTCTTAAACATCCACCTTCCCCCTTCTTTTGGTTCCAGACTCTGGTTTTCCTTTGGGGATCATTCCCTGCCTGCTTTCTGTGCACCTGTTTTGGGTCAGCTTGTCCTCAAGGCTCAAGCATGAAGCATGTGACCTGGGCCTGCTCCATTCCATACTGAGACACTGTGGAAGGTTCCAGGTTGGTTCTGAGACTCAGCCAGGGCCAGTGAGATGCAACTGTAAGAGTCCTGGCTGAGCTGGCACAGTGTCTAAACCTCTTCATCTTCTGGAGCCTTCCTTGGCTTCCAAGCCTCACAGTGGCTCAGACTTGCCTTCTGCCCACTAACTCCTAAAGGCCTCGAAGGCCTTTCTGACCCCACATGACTCCACTACATAGTAGCCCTGTGACCTTACTTAGCAAACAATTACTCTGTGCCTCTCTTTCTTCATCTATAAAACAGGATACTGTCCACCACAAAGGGTTGTTTTAACAGAGAAATTAATGACGTGATCCACATAAATAAAGTGTTTTGCCCTGAACCTGGTGTGGAGCAATTGCTCAGTAAATATTTAATTGTTCAGTTTGGCTTTTGGAGCCCATTACCTCACACAAAAAGAAGGGATGGCACCTCGCTGGTATGTTTTAGGTCCTTTTCTGTACTGAGAATGGCTCAACAGAGTTTGAGGACCCTGGAAGATGAAGCCAAATATTCCAACTATTATGTTGTTGTTTCCGCATAGCCTAACTACTCGATTCATACCTAATTTGCTCCTGTCTTGTATTAGTTGCCTATGCAAATACATATCAAAAGGAAATAAATTAGCGACACTGTAGGTGTCCCCAAGTATGGTTTTCACATTCCCAGTAATTGCAAGCTCTGGCCCGGGATCAGAAATATCTTTCGACTGTCTTTATTCTACTGCCATCCTGTGGCCAGCCTGTGCCACTGCAGCACTGTGGACAGGATGGAGCTGAGCTTTGTGTTCTCACGGTCCTCCTTGTGCCTGGGAAGGGTCTCCTTGGGAGGGAGTGCAGGGGAAGGGCCTTCTCGAGTCCCCCACCGGCGGGCAGGAGTCTGGGCATGAATCACCAGTCCTGACTTGACTTCTGTTTGATGAACTTTAAGGACATATAGTACAGGACCATGAAGCCACCACTGATGCCTATGATGAAGAGGTAGATGGCGTAGAGAGGGTATGAGCCCAGGCCCATGGCGTTGAGGATCTGGGGACAGAGACATCAGTGAGCTCATTAAGAACATGCTCAGACGGCTGCCATCTCTTTAGCGTCCAAAGCCTTGGAGCCTTACCATGTCTCCCGGGATAGGGATGGTGATGTTGCCAGCTGCCAGGTGATACGTGTGCCCACCAAACTGGATCTGCATCAGCCCTTCAAAACACCATCGGAGGAAGGACACCTTGGAAATCCACGCGGGCACTGGAGGCGGTGAGAGTCACATTACTCACACAGTCTAATCATCTGCTCCCTGGGAACTGAGCCTGGAGAGTGGCCATGGTGGCTCTGACCCAAGGACAGCAAGTCCCCTGAGGGAGCAAGGAGGGGTGGGGGTGAGAACAAAAGGGTGAACGGGCAGAGGGGAAGCTCGGGACATGGACTGGGGCAGAGGCACCTAGTGGCTGCAGGATCACCGCACGTTTGACCCATAATAACCCCAGAGAGTAATTTCATCGGGTGTCCAGCATGTGCTCAGCTTCACATAGCTTACGGACTGGGGAGACTCAGCAGCCCCAAGCCAGAGATTACTGAGTCTGTACCCTGACCCTGCGGAGGCATCATGGTTCAGGGAGGAGGAGGAAGGAACGAACCCTGATTGCACAGGACAGGAAAGGCCTATGGATGGTAGGGGGTGGCGTTCCTATAGAGAAGGGATGCACAGGTTCCATCGTGAGAGCATGGAGTGTCTTGGGGGCTTCAGAAGAGCTGGGTGAGGGAGCAGGGAATGAGCAGCCCCAGGAGCACTTGAGGAAAGCAGTGGCTGGATCTGCACCTTACGAAGCTCGCGCTGCATGGGTGAGGGTTGAGAGGGGACATGGAGGAACCAGGGTCACAGATACCGGCCTATCACAGTGGCCCACGATGGGCTGATAGGGGCCAGGGTGGGGAGTAAGGCAAGAGGACACTTCAGAAAGACACAGGAGGCAGAACTGACTTGGCTCACTGGTGACGTGGAGGGTGAGGGAGAGTCAAGGGTGGGCCCTGGGTGTCGGCCGGGCTGTATGAGAAGGTGCCATCTGCACCACGCCCCACTCCCCCTGTGTAGAGCCACTCCCTTGGCACCTGTTCCCAGAAGGCCCAGCTTTGAGCTGGACCTAAGGGTTGAGCTCTCATCTCCAGGGGGAAGCAGGCCGATCCAGCCACAGAGGGCCTCAAAAAGCTTGACCAGCTGAGGGGAGCAGGCCTCACCTGTCCACAGGTTGTCCAAGCTTATCATGAAGCCCCCAGTGAGGTAGAAGGAGTTGTAGAGAGCGTTGCCGAAGAAGGAGGACATGTGGAAGGTGGGGAACAGGGCGGCGGTGGCCAGGGCCATGGTTCTGCAGCAGAAGACCACCAGCCACACCAGCAGGAAGTGCAGCAGGAAGGGCTCGGGGCCCGGGCGCAGGTCGGCCAGCCAGTAGGTAGGCATCCCATAGATGATGATATAGACACAGTGCTCGGGAAGCTCCCCTACGATCTGCGAAGGACAGACCTTGCAAGGATGTGGAGCCAACGCCTTCATCTGCTACTGTTCTTTAAATGTTCAAAAGCAGCAGCCCCCACTGACACCGACCTTCCCTCCTGGTGGTTTGATCGGGGTTGCAGCACGGGGGGCTGCTGGGCACAGGTGTGTGGGACTCTCAAGCATGAGCTCACTGCTGGCTTCCCCCTGCAGATGTCATGTGCTCCCTCTGGGGCAGTTCAGAGCTCCTAAGACCTGGTTTCAAGTCCCCACCCTGCCTGCCCAGACCTGGTAGCTGTGTGGCCTTGAGACAGCCACATAACCTCTCTGAGCCTCCGCTTCCTTGAAATGAGGACAGTCACACCTGCTTGACCCGCTTCCCAGGGACATGGTGAGACTGGAGAGGTGAAGTATGCTAGGCGTTTCCCACCTCTTCTTTGTTAGGTTTCTGATGACCAGAAAAAACGTCATTCCTGGTCCACAGTCCTGGCCTTGTGGTAAATGTTTAAACAATGTCAAGTCTCTGAAACTCCCCAGAGCAACGTGGCATTTGTAACCACAGCTGATGCACGGCCCCACAGTTCAGCAAAACACTTCCCTGTAACTTCTGTGTAACGTGGAGCAGCTTTTTCTGCTCCTCCTCCCACCCAGGGTGGCCACTCACTCTCAGGCCTGACCAGTCACCTTGGCAAAGAAATATGGCTCCGCAGTGTACAGCCCATCTTCTAGTTCATAGTAAAGCAGCGCCCTCTCCGAGTGACCTAGAAAGGGGAGAAAAGGAGAATGAAAAAGTGAAATTAATTTACAGTGTCTCTGTTTCTGAGTCTCTCTTAGTACAATTAAAAATAGTTTTATTGCCTCAATGTCATGTATTTTTTTTAAAAAACAGGCAATTTTAGATCCTAATTTAGATGTTTGTAATTCTGTGAGTTCTGCATTGCTGTCAGTATAACTCCTGCTAGGACAGGAATGCCTCAGACTCCTTGGTAATTTGTTCTCATTTGCATACTAATGCTAATGTTCGAACTTGAAAAACAACCATCATCTTTTATTTCACAGTCACGGTGAAATTATTCAGCAAACCCGTCTTCTCCAGGAGCTCAGAGGACCTCAGGCCGGCCCTGGACCAGCTCATAGCATGGCCGATGCTGCTCCACGTGCGGGTCATGGAGAGCAGGCCACACTCACATTTGGCAATGACATCCAGGATCACGTTGAAAGGGACGAGAGCTCCAATCATGAACAAGAGGGCCACCGTGTCCATGAAGGAGAGCTTGACGGCTCCATGGCCATAGTAGAGGAACCCGATGATCAGGGACATCAAGCAGGCCTCTGCCCCGTGAATGAGGAGGGCTGGCAGGTCTCGGAAGTCGTTGGAAATCTGGCGACTTAAAAAACAGAATAAAGATGTGCCAAGGGGACAATAGTCACCAGCATTGTGACCTTGGCAATGTCCTTGAATCTCTGTAAGGCTCATTTTTCTTCTCTGTACAATGGGGAGGGCAGTGCCCACCTCACAGTTACTGTGAGGGATCAAACGAGAAAATCGATGAACGCATCTGTCTCACAGTATGTACTCAGTCAGTGATTGTGACCTTTATCACCAATGTATCACTTTGCGATTTTATTTAAAGAAGTTATCCTGAGGAAATAACCAATCAAGAGCGTAAAGGTGTATGTACAAGGATGTCTGTCATAGAGTTACTTGTAATAGCAAATGACTAAAGGTAATCTGACCATCAATATGGACTTAATGGGTAAATGAATTATGGCTAGATTTGGAAACCCTGAGGAAGACCTAACCAGATGAGAGGCAGAGGCGCTGTTCTAAGGGTGGGGGGGAAGGTTATGGCACAACACATATGATCCCATTTATGTATTAAAATGCTTATGCGCATGGAAACATCTTAGACTCACACCAGACACTCAGCTCTGGTTTTCTCTGAGGGCTGGTGTATCAAGGAACCTTCCCTTTCCACTTGAGGGTCTCCTGTATCGACTGAATTTTTCATAGTGATTCTGGGTGATTTCTACGAGCATCTGGCTATCAAGGAAATTTTGATTTTGTTTAAATAATCAAAGTAAGAGGAATGCTCTGTAGCACATGGAGGGGCTGGTGCTGGTGTTTTTCAAATGATTCTGCCTCTTCAAACTCAAATTCCTCCTTCAAATTCACGTTAGATCCAAAGGGCTTAATTTGATACAACAAAGACTTTTGGGGAGTGTGTGTGTGTGTGTGTGATGAAATGGCAATTACCGGATCAGCGTGTCAAACTGCTGTAGAGGGCCAGGCAGCTTAGTGGGAGTCTGTAAGGGGTTGGTGTCCCTCGGGGAAGCCGGGCTGTCAGGAGACAGAGAGTGTCATGGGGGCTTGGGGGCGGCCACCTTTTGCAGGGTGCTCTCCACGCAGGGCCACCTGGCTGCCTTACCTCTGCACATAAGTGCCCACACCCTGCTCCCTTGACTCCACTGTCCACAGAAAGTCATTGAAGCCACGTATTCTTTCTTGAAACAAGGCTGCAAGGGACTGAGCCTTCTCCCTGGTGGCCACTTCCTGCTCTTTGCTTCGCCTGTCGATGCTGGTCAAGTCCACTGTAAGCAGAGGGCGACCCGGGCCCCGCAGGTGGTCATAGCCCATGATGCTGGTCAGCCCCCGGGGCCCCTGGGACATGCTCCCCACCCTCTGAGAGTGGACCATGAAGTGACGGTCTGAGCAGAGAGAGGCAGAAAGATGCCCAGGGCTGTCCCCGATGTCTACAGAGAGCCTTTCTCGGGAGAAGGACCAGTGAACACTGGCACTGGTCCCACCAAGCAGGCTTATTATGGGGACATCCCCAGGACAGAGAAGGAGGCTTTGGGCTTTTGGAGCCCAAGGCCACAGCACAGTTATGCCCTGGCTCTAACTCCAGCCGTCCAAGAAGCTTGTGATGAGGACTCAGCCTCCCGGGCGTGCCTACCACGGGGAGGCTGAGCAGTCTGGCTCCCGGCAGCTCTAGTTCTCAATGTGAATTAGTCATTTTGGCTTCCCAAGCAGCCTGCCCAAAAGGGAAGAATGTTTTGGCTGGAGGGTGTCAGGGTCTGGCCAAATATTAAGTATAATTCTCAGTGCCCCGGGAGGAGGGAGCCAGCACGATCAGCTGGAGAACAGGCTGGGCCACACGCACCTCCACGTCACCCCCGCTGGCAGCACCTGGTAGCCCCAGACCACAGCCCTCCTCTCCCGGGGCCCCTGAAACGCCAGAAGGGCACACCCACCAGTCACAGCCAGGGCCTTCCTAGGCCTCTCCTTCCTCCATCCCTCCCTTGGGCAGGGGATTCCTCTTAACCTCTCTGCCCCTTCCCTCCTCCCATTTCCATGACACATCTCAAGGCAGGATAACATCTCAGAGAGGCCTTGTAAACCATGAAAGGTCCCTTCAGTGTGCGGGGCCCGAGCTTCAAACGCCAGATTCTCTGTCAGACCGTGCGGCCCGGATCCGTGAGAGCCATCTGCCCCAGGGTTCGTGGGCAAGAGCTCCCCCCGCCACCCAAAAATGATAATAATATAAAATTAAGAAAAAGAAAAATTTTTTTTTCAGATCTGGGCACCTGACTTCTGGCAACTTCTCTCTAGGGTTACAGCATATTGTTCCCAATGGCCAGGCTGGCAGGTGCCCTCTACCCCCTTATCTGGGGGTGACCGGCCAGAGGATGACACACTGGCGGGAAGCCAAACTGGTACGTGGGCACAGGGAGGGAGGGTGACCTCTAGGTGAGTTCACACAGTGGCAGTGAGTGCAGAGGGTGAGGGCTGGTGGGCCAGAGAGAGTGGCCTGTCCTCCTAGGAGAGAGTTGGAGGGTAGATGCCGGGAGGAAGGTGTGGGCAGCAGGGCCTGGAGTCTGGGAGGGGCTGGGCTGGGAGGTGGGAGGCCCAGTTCTGCCGCCTGACTATAAGGACTCCAGTTTTCTCATCTATAAGGACGAAGATGACTGTGGCCTGGCAGGGCTGTGAGGGTCAAAGGGACACCCTCTGGTGCTTGGCACCTGTGGGCACAGTGTCTGCCCTCAAGGAGCTGGTCCTTGTCATCATGTTTACTGGGGAGGCCCTTGCTACACCAGGCCATCCTGGGAGGAAGGCTGGGCTCCAGGTGACGTATGTTTGGGACAAGCCACAGCCGCTGCTTCCCCAGCCCTGGTACAACCACGCAGCCTGTCCGGCAGCCACAGCATTCCTCCACTCAGGATCCTGGCACCTGCTTTCAGGGTGGGCACCTGGAAAGGCAACTGTCCCCACAAGAATTGAGGGCCATATGCTGAGGCCTCAGGACCCCAAGCAGAAAGGCATCTCTGGTGCTCACCACAATTTTCATATCTAGAGATTCATTGGCCAAGACCACCAAAAAGCCCTGAGCTGGCCTGGGCCCTGGGTCCCCCTCCACCACCCAGAGCCTCTGGGCTCCCTGCCTTTGTGGGGGAACCAGGGCATGGTTTTAAGATTTCCTGGTGGTTTCTGACCTCTAATATCCTGTTTCCCCTACAGAATCTGAATGAAGACCACAGTTCCAGAAATTGATCCAAACTCTCTTGGATTATATCTCCTCTGGTTTGGAGCTCTCAGAAGGTTCTTATCTGCCATGCACACAAGGGTGGCTATGTCAGAAGCTGCTTTCTTCAGGTTCCCATTCCTAGCATTTGATGCTTGGCAAACTGAAGCCTGTAATACACCCCATCTGCCCCCCTGTCTCCATGCTCTGTCCTGTTCTCCTGGAGCTTCTGAGAGTTTCTCTCCTGGCGGGGTTCGGGGTGTAGGGGAGCCCTGTTCCTTGCCTCTGGCCTGGCTGGCTCACCATAGTAGTCGGCAGGGTTGCTGTAGCGGGGACAGGGGTGGCCGGCTGCCGTGAAATACTGGACCATGTGCTGGGCTGCCCCCAAGTAGATGGTGGTGCCAGACGTCATCAGGAGGACCAAATCAAACAGCCTGAAGATATCGGAGCGAGGCTGGTGGATGGAGATGAGCACCAGCCTGTTGCCTTTGGCCAGCCTGGACAGGGTTTTCACCAGGTTGTGGGCCGTGAAGCTGTCGAGCCCAGAGGTGGGCTCATCCAGGATGAGGATTCCTTCCCAACAAAGAGAAGCCTGGTTAAGGGGCAGGGTTCCGGCTGGACCGGGTTAAGCCAGGCGGGCGGTGCAGGCCCCTCCTGCCTCACCTGGGTTCCACAGCAGCTGCACTGCGATACTGACTCTGCGCCGCTCGCCTCCGGACACGCCCCGCACGTAGGAGTTGCCTATGAGCGTGCTGGCGCATTGGCGCAGCCGCAGCTCCGCGATCACGTCGTCCACCTGGGAGGCAGGGACCTGTGGGTTTAGGAGGGCTGCGCCGGCCTGCTCGCGGCCTGGCCTGTGGTGACCCACAGTGGAAAGACGCCTGGGTTTACGGCGCCAGCCTTCATTTCCCTGATTCAACGTTTGTTCCCTGATTCTTTCCACACATCCAGAGCAGCTCCCACGTGCCGAGCACGGCACCACTTACTGGGAACGTGGCCATGCCCTGGCTTTCTGCCCGCACGGAGAACCGGAAAACAAGTGAGCAAATATTCATCACACATTTGGGGCTGAGATGGGACTTTAAAGGAAAACGGGGGATGGAGGGGCAGGGCTGAGCGCACGGTGGACGTTTTCGGACGGACAGATGGTGAGCTGGGCTGCTCAAACTTGACCTGTGGCCGGACCCTGAGGCAGGAAGTGAGGGACGGGGAGGGGAAGGGTGTTTTGGCTCCTTGGGGGTCACTGGGGTCTGTTAGTTACCCTTTTGTCACGCTGGGCCTGGGAGAAGTCTCTGGGCAGGCGCAGCTGGGCAACGAAAGCCAGGGTCTCGCGGACGGTCAGGTTGGGGAGCAGCTGATCGTGCTGGCGCACGTGGGCCACGCACTCCCTGACCAGCTGGGGCGTGCTGTGCTGCCCGTTGATCCAGATTTGGCCCGACTTAATCTTGCCGCCGTGGCCTCGCCCGGTGATCACATCCAGCAAAGAGGCTCTCCCACAGCCTGAGAAGCCACCAGAAGTATCCCTGAGAGCGGAGCTTCTGCGGGGGCCAGCCTGGAAGCCACTGCTGCCTGTGCACTCTCCAGACTGCTCTGTCCTTGCAGATGTAACCAGCCCTTAGGGAAGGTGGCACAGCTCTCAGACCTGCCTGGGGCAGCCAACTTGAGCATCCTGGGGGTGCGGGGTGTTCAGGCCACGTCGGCCTGTGGCTGTGTGACAGAAGAAGGCTGGAGTCCTAGTTGCCGCATGACTGCCTATGCCTGGAGCGATGCCCCCCCTCCTCCAAGCAAGGCTGGTGTTAATTGCACTGTGAAGCTTAACTATTTTTGCCTGGCAAATATGCCAGCAACATTTCATCATTCAAACATCATTTGGCTCAGAAGCTGGCATTGTGGGAAGAACTAATTTTGGAGAATTAATAGGGTGTCTTTTAAAAATGCAAAATTGGAACGTATTTTCAGAAAGGGAGGAAAATAGAGAAGTCATAAATGTGGAAATGATTTTAAAACTACAGTACAGTGTACATATGGGTTCTGAATTTCTCTACACCCTCTGCACTCTTATTTTTCTCAGTAGTACCTTCCACTCTTAAAAAAAAAAGGATCCATGACACGCAAATTAACACCATCCACTTCTGAATGACATAGTGATTGCTATCAATTTGGGGAAGTAAGTGTCAGATTGGATCAGCTTCCATGAGATTCCATGAGACTCTTTCTTTGGCAGCCATTTGAACTGTAAATACAAATAGGGTTCAGGCGCTGAGAAGGCCTTCTTGCAAAGGTGCTGGCAATAGCTCAGTCCAATTCCCCCAGGTGGGGTTTTGGTTTCCTTATTGCAAACTCCTTTTGGAGGGCGAGTTTTTCAAGTAGTTTTAAACAGGGAAAACTCCAATACACAGTGTAACAGCGCTTCCTTGCCACATGTCCAGGCCTTCCGCAGGCAGCCCCCTGACCCTAGTCAAGTATATTTGGGGAGATCCTCCGTGAACCAGGAGAAAACACCCACAGGCATTCAGGACCCTTATAAAATGGCTGGAATCTCCAAATCAGTAAATTCATTCATCGGAAAACGCCTTTGGCACTACTGCTGATTCCATAGCAGAAGCTAAAATGCCTGGGGGGGGGCTGTTTTAATTTATTTCATTTTACTGTTATAATTTTGGTGAGCGGAGTATAGATCACAGGTGGTATAATTGGTAAACCTTTCTAAGAAATCATTTAAATAATTTCAGCCAAGTAAACCTGCAGCTAAACAACACTGAGCCTAGAGTCGAAAGTTCTGGAGATGCTCAGTGTGATTCCTGCTTGGCCTCTCCCGACTTCCCTTTTCTTCAACTGCTGCTCAGGGTTGCTAAGAGCTGCAGGGCTGTGTGTGGCCAGGATTAACAGTCATGACTCTCAGCTTTGTGGAAGTGCCTAGTAAGGCCCACATGCCCCCTTGACTCTCAGTTCATGAGAAAAAGCAGGTATAGCCAGAAAAGCCACCAGGTGTTACAGACAAAAACAAAATTGGCCTGTGAAGTTTCCACATTTTTCTTGTTTAGATCCGAATTGCAGGGGCAGGACCAGAAGTTGGCGGGACTTGATTTGTGGGAGTTCAGTTACAAAGTGCATTTGCACACATCGTCGCATTTGATCTTCAGTTAGACAATAAACAGAACTTCCGCATCAGAAGACTAAAGACTAAAATGTTCAAAAAGTTGAGTAATCTCTACTTCTGGAAATGATTAATTGAAAGGTATAAAATGCTCCCTCTAACACTGTGTAAGGGAGAAATGCCTTGATCTGTGTTTAAAAAGAAAGAAAGAAAGAAAGAAACAGCAAACCCCAAATGGAGTCACTTGTCCTAAGCCCCACACCACCAGACTGAGACTTAATACCTAACTTAATTACAGTTTCAGTCTCTCCCAGGAGTGGAATCTTAAACCAGCCCATCTGACATTACCTGGTAAGCACTGATAGACCCCTACTGTCCCCCAAAGGAAGGTGGCCTTGCCTAAAACAATCAGCCCTTTGCTAGAATAACTTCCTTGTCCTACCTCCTTCTGCCTATAAAAGTCTTTCGTTTTGTACAGCTCTCCAGTGCTACTTTCCGTCTGCCAGATGGGTTGCTGCCCAATTCATGACTCGTTGAATAAAGTCAGTAAGATCTTTACAATTTAATCAGTTGAATTTGTTTCATCATCTGAGAACCAGGAGACCAGAGTTCTAGTTCTTGCTCTGCATTAAATGTATGTCCTTAGACATCATTCCTCTTTTCTAAACTTTGATCTTCTCATCTGTCAGATGAAGGGGGAGTGGTATGGGGCAGGAAGATACTCTAGCAATATTGAGAACTAGGTAATTTGAAAACCCTCCTCTAAAGATGCTTCCAGGCTGGTCAGGAGAAAGAAAGGTAGAATACAGTGGAAGGGAATGAACTCTGTTCTCCAAGCCCCCTTCCAGCTCTGGCATTCTACACTTTTAAGTTTGGCCTGCAGAAGTGACTTTTTTTTTTTTTTTTTTTTGTGGTACGGGGGCCTCTCAGTGTTGTGGCCTCTCCCCTTGGGGAGAACAGGCCCCCGGAACGCAGG